TCACAAATTAAAATCTTATCCTGTCAGATTTTACTCACTTTACTGAAATAATAGTAACAGTAAATGGAAAGTGCTCGTCTGTATTTGGATATATGTCACCTAGGTATAGTTGAGTTTTATTAGTTGTTTTTTATGGACCTGTAAAGTCATTTTTGTCTTCTTCATCAAGACCATTTTATTGGGGACGATGACTTGGCGCCAAAGGTTCAGACTCTACATTCAGGATGTTTGGAATAAATGTGACCTCACTGCCATCAGCCTGTTCATTATAGGACTAATCTGCAGGTATGGACAAAAAAATAAAAAATAATAGAAATAATCAATTCAAATTTGTTTTTTCTACAGTATAATTTTTGAATGAGGCTTTGTCATTGCAGATTGTAACATTTGTAAAAACATTGTCCTTGGTTCATATTTGGATGCCTTAAGTGTTCTATAAAATAATTTTCATTTCTGGGTCTTTAGTTAATTTACAGCTTTGCCACCAGGTGGTGCTGCTACCACACTGATTCAGCATTACTGTGCTTGTGTTTCAGGATGTTCCACTGGTCATATGAATTTGGACGGGATGTCCTGTGTTTGGACTACATGGTCTTCACCCTTCGCCTCATTCACATTTTTGCCATTCACAAGCAGCTGGGACCAAAAATCATCATTGTAGGAAAGATGGTGAGAAAGTTACCATCAGTTGGCAATATACCAATTATACACTTTTAATAATATAATGTCAGAAACAAAATGACAATTTTCTCCTCTTGTTCAGATGAAGGATATCTTCTTCTTCCTCTTCTTCCTGGGTGTGTGGCTCATGGCATACGGAGTTGCCAATCAGGCTCTGATCTATTCCTACGATCCAAACCCGAATCGCATTTTTCGGAGAGTTTTCTACAGGCCATACCTTCACATCTTTGGACAGATCCCTGTTGAAGAGATGGATGGTACAAGTGTTTGTGCAACTGGCATAAAAATAAGAAAATTGAATGCTACTGTAAAACTTTCTTAACTTTCTCCTTTATGTGTGTTTTTGTTGCAGTGGGCAAGGACTGGGATGTCAACTGTACACACAATGTGACTTTGATTGAGAGCGGAGAAGAGCCGTGTAGAACTCATGAGAGTAACTGGCTGGTAGTGATTCTGCTAGTCGTATATCTCCTGGTCACCAACATCCTGCTCATCAACCTGCTTATTGCCATGTTTAGGTAAAGAACCAGTCTGTCATTATATCTGAGGATACATTCACATACTGAATGGTTTGACTTGACTCAGTGGCTCTGATCTGCTTGTATCCACACAGCTACACTTTCTCTAAAGTGCAGGAACACAGTGACACCTACTGGAAGTTCCAGCGTTACAACCTGATTGTCGAGTACCACTCCCGTCCTTCTTTGGCTCCGCCTTTCATTATCCTCTCACACATCAACCTCTTTATTAAGAGGGTCATCCGCAAAGTGCCCTCTGTAAAGATTCACCACTTTGGTCAGTATTGGATCAGAAGTCGTGGATTTTATTAATATAATAAAATAATTAATACTGCTAATGTATTAAAGTTATTGTCCATTACACATGCTGAATGAGGAAGCCTCAGTTCCATAGTTCTATTATCTTTGAGTTTTTTAATCAGTGACTGTATTTTTTTTTTTAAATTAATTGTTTTTATTTTAGTGGCTTACTTATAATGGAAGCATCTAAAAAATTTGCTTGCTCACTGACCTCAGTTCAGCAGTGATGAAAGCATGAAAAGTGAGTTGAAAGGTAATCAATTCAAACCTTTGTCTGTACTATCAGTGTTAGACTTGGAAGCAAAGGCAGCGAACAGATTATCAACGTGGGAAACGATTCAGAAGGAAGACTTCCTGACTGCTCGAAACAAGATCCAGAAAAGCAGCGACTCAGAAAGGCTCAAACGGATGTCTGCCAAGTGAGCACACCTTCATCCTCCGCTGTAGCAGCATTATTTATTACTGTGTGACTCCATCATACTGAAGTAAATCCATCTTTGTTTATATAGGGTAGATGGTGTGCTTAAACATCTGAGTGAAAGCAGAGACTTTGAACACAGGTTACGGTCTCTGGAGAATCAGGTAAAACCGAAGCTCCAACTTATCATTTTGTACCATTTGATTCATTCATGATACATATGTGGAGCTGCTGTGAAAAAGCACATTGGTTCAGCCAGTTCAGTATTCTACATAAAGGTTAAAGCATTGAATTGCAGACTTGTTTTGACTGGTATAATAACAGGATGGTAGAATATAGGGAAAACACCTACTATTTAGTACAAAGACAGTTTTATTTGGAATTAGTGTGGCTGATCTTAAGCAACTCTGTAGTAAGCAATTTTATGTTTTGGAGAAAAGCAAGAAGTACTGATTATGGGAAAAAGCTGTTGTGTCAGTCAGAATGTTTTTAAGATTAGCTTAAGATTAGGATACATCAGAGCCAACAATTCATGAATTAACTACATCACTGTTGTCTTTTTAAAATGAGATTTTTTTTTAGTCACTAGGTGGAGCTAGCCTAACTGTATTTAATTTGCTTCCAGTCTTTATATCTTCCTGAGAACTGAGGAAAAAAATAATCTTAGCATTGAACTTTTTTGTGATTTCCTACCTCTTTGGAGCTAAAAGACACCACACAAACACACGAGATATCAATGGGAAGCCCAGGACGTTCTCTATTTAGTACATCAAGACTTAATACCGTAGCTCAAATAAGCCAAAAGCTATAGACCAAAAACAAATGTCTATTAGAGAGGACATAAATGAATAGGGTGGTTCTCAGGAAGCTGTGATAAGCTGGGCTGGACAAGTGTTTAACGGGTGGATATGAGTGGTATCCAAGACAGGTTTTTTTTTTTTTTTAATGGTCTGTCTTTGATTAAGCAGTTTCCTGTTTTAAAAATATTTTGTCCTATAGAGGGCAATAAAGTAATGTCCACCTTAAAAAGTAATCTTACTCTCTATGTAGTGAAAGTGTTAAAGTACTGCTTTAAGTGTATTACTGCATAATATTTAATTAACAGTAAACAATCTGTTTTTAGAATTTTTATAGACACAAAGTTAAGACATGGAGTGAACAGACGACCTGAACACATCTATAAAGAAAAAAGTCATCCTTTTTTTCAGGTGCTTTTCATTGAGGTTTAAGAATGAATCTTTTCTAATATATAGTTTCATGATCTTCTGCTTTTTCTTCTCAGATGGAGTATTGCTCCAGTGCACTCAGCTGGGTTGTGGATACTTTATCACAAGGAAGCACATTTAAACCTCCTCGACCTCCACCATTACGAGGTACTTACTAGCAGTTATGAAATCATGCTTACATAACAGCCTGCATGTTGAAAAGCCACTCTTCATTTACATAGCTTGCTTCACTACTAAGTGGCTGTAGCTCAAGTGGTAGAGCAGGTAATCTGCTAACCACAAGACTGTTAGTCCGATCCAGGGCCGTGCAGAGATGTGGGTGCTCAAAGTTAAAAAGGGGCATATAGAACCAGGCTGAAGAACAACAACCCACATTCATCAAGAATCTAAAATGTAATCGCATCATACTATATCACTGTCATCAGGTGGGGACAATAGAGAGCAATCGCAGCTTATGTTTTACCCGATGGGTACAGTGTTGCTGTTGAGGGGTTGCTGCTGCTCCCGCTGCTGATAGTGCTGGAGGGCAGGGCTGTGTTGATCTGAGACTGTAGACTGTAAAAAGTCCATAGCAGAGATGGTAGCGGATTAAACAAGTGTTATAAGATAATAATAAAATATCGAGATTGGTTACAGCGCTTAGAACCAAAAGTCAACAAAACTGTGAGGAATAAACTCGGCTCTGTTTGTGTTTGTGAATCACTCTTTGACTCTCTGCTTCCTTCCATTTCCTCATCTCATCTATCTCTCTCCACTTGCTGTTCAGGCACAATTTGCTATCGCATCGATCTATTGTTTAATTATCCACACTTAACAATTTTTGCACCTAATTCATAATAAAGTAATGACAGAAAAATGTTATAGAACCTAAACATTAGAAAGCCCCCCCCCCAGTTATTCTTCAGCAAGATACTAAATCCTGACTTGCTCTCCAATGTGTTAGCATTGTGTATTAATATGAGATAGAAAGCACCAAGGTATAGAAAAAAAGTGCCTGTGTGAATGGATGAATGAGGTGTGCTGTACTTTGAGTAGTAACGCATTGTCTAAAAGTCAATTCATAATGTACTGCTTTCTAAAAAAAAAGTTAGCTTTTTTTCTTTTTGCTAAAATTTGTCCCTCACTCATCTTACTCTACCTATTCCTCTCTACAGATGCATTTGCCTCCTCTTCCAGCTCAACTTAATTTAAGGATACCTTAAATCAAAGAGGACACCTTCACTTCGCTCAAGTTCAGGAAAAAAAACAAAATTGGAGAACACTCTCTTTTGAGAACTTCTATCCAGCCCACCACCCTACATTCTCACTGGACTTGGTTTACCAAAGCATATAAACACTGCACTGAAAGGAGAAAACATTTTATCCAGCCAATGCAAGACACTGTATGTCTGCGCGCGTGTGCGTGTGTGTGACTTGATACAATTAATGCTGTAAAACATGTTTTAAAAACATGCAATGTTTTACATTTTATTCTGATATGATGTGATAGCGTCTATAACCAGTTACAGTAGGAACACATTAAT